ATTTTTAATTATGCATTTATTCAGGGTTTCTTTACGATAAGGCAGGCTCAGATATGTGATTCATATACCTGGAGTTGAAGGGACTATTTATTGTTTAAATTGAACCCTGAAACATTCCAAATTATTCATCTTTTTTCCCACTGCTGCTCTCCGCTGAGTAGTATGTTTTTAATTAAATGTAATTATTTTTTAAACTGTACTTTAAACTTTAATCCTATAATATCACGCCTGCCAGAAAAAGCGTCCAAATAAAATAATGATTCTAAAATGAAAATTAAATGATTGCGTGCAAAAAGTAGGTGAAATAAGACTGGTTTAAATTTTTCTCTTAATTCTTAATTAAAGCAATGAAGTCGTTGAAAATTACCAAAGGTCGATTATTTTTAAGTAATAACCAAAAGTAGACCCCACGGTTTAAATTAAACTGCTCATTTATAAATTTTTAACCATGAACATTCTCTTTTGCATACACTATACAGGGTGAGTCAAAAAAAAAATTTTCATGAAATTATTATGCATTGCATTTTTGCAATATTTGGAATATTGTTTTGATTTTTTAACACTCACATGGTACCACAAAAAATCCTCAATCCTTTTTTCTTCTCAAAATCAAAAGTGTTATTTTTATGAATTGAACTGAACAATAAATCAGATCTATTTCATTAAAATGTTGGGATTCTTATATATATATCTTTCAATTGGTCAGATCGATCTTTAAGAAATTTTAGGATTGGATAGAAATTATCTATAATTGTAACACATTTTAGTTTCTCTTCACTTTCAATTCTGACGGGAAAAAAAGTTTCGCGGATTTTTTTGTGGTATCATGTGAGTTTCAAACAAATAAAGACAATATTCCAAAATATTGGAAAAAATACCAAAAGTAAAAATGAAAATTTCACGAAAAAATTAGTTATGAAGAAGACGGTGCTAACCACACGTTTTTTTATTCATGGGAAAGGTCGATGAGGGGGGAGGGGCAGAACTAATATTACAGGTTTGTTTTGAATTAAAACGAGCACGAACATTATGGTTATAAAAAATCTAAATTTTTAAGAAAGTTGAAATAAAACAATTTGAATCGGGATCTTCTTAAAAAAAACATGATTTCATTGTGATGTAAATTTACAATGTAAATTGTACATCAATTCAAGATTCACTATTATACTTTTTTATAAACATTAAATTTTTGGTATGAAAGAATTATAGTTTAGGATTTCGTAGATTTTTCTGTTTTCACTTAAGTAGAAATTCAAATTTTTTTGAATCGCAATTTTATCAATTCTGACCGGTGTCGTGCATGGAAATCCCACCCTGCATGGAGAGCCTGCCCTTTAATCACCATTTCTACGCAATTTTAGACATCAAAACCAAGGTTTTTATCTATGAAAGTATTTTGATTGGGCAACACACTTTAAAAATGATCTATGTCTCAAAGAAATAATGATTTTTTTGATAATTTGAAAGGAAAAAAACATTTGTGAGAAAAAAAAACACTTTTTGCGTTTTCCCCTACAATAATATATTTTATATCTAAATACGCATTAGGGCCGGGTCGATTTTGTAACCAAGCTTAGGGACATAGTGATATACCTGCACCTAACTATTCTAAGAACTTCGTTAAAAAATTAATCAAAAATTTTCAAAAAATGACGAGCTGAGCCCGTTAAGAGCAAATAATAGATGATAAAAATTACCATTAGAACCGAAAAAAAATCTTTAAAATATATCGACATGGGTAAAAAAAGATGTATCTCAAACTGTTGATTACTGTCCACATTTTTTTTTTTGATAACTATGAATTTGTTTGAATTTTGGGCAATAAACAGGGTTTTTTGATATCAATAAATTATAAATAAAGAAATTCGGTGTCATAAATGACTTTTTTGATTTTTTTTTCTGAAAATTATAGCTCTCAGCTCGCCATTTTTTAAATTGTTGATAAATATTATTGAGAAGCTCTTAGAATATTTGAGTGCATATATCCCGCACACTGACACACCCTTACGCATTTATTTATGTAAAGTAATAATGAGAAAGGTGTCTGCACTTATGGAGGGAGGGAAGGCCAAGCGGCCCTAAACCCCCTGCTCAATTACCTACCCTCCTTCTTAACTACAGTAGCCACGGCCGGGGTACTAAGTCAAGAAATAGGAATAACAAAGATCTACTTTATCTAAAACTAATCCGGTTTTATATTTACTCCAATTAGTGATCGGAGCCCTTTCTGGAAGGAACCTTTCCCTGCTCCCTGAACAGAGCTGATAAAGCAGTGCACACATAAATGCGATGCATCCTAAGGAATTCCGTTGGACTGGGAAACAGCATAACACATGGACAAGTGGAGTGATTTTAACGAAACATTCCTGATACGCCACTCCTACAAACCCTTATCCTCGTCTCCCACTCTCCTCTGCTAGCTATAACCCTTTTGTAACAAATGGGACAAATTTTTGTAAATATATTTTAAATAAAACTAGATATATGAATTTTATCTAACAAATTTATCCTTTCGACACTTATCATGGTAATGGTAACATATGTATATATAAACTGTTTTTTACAATAAATAGATTTATTTTTATTATTATTATTATTATTTTAATACTGAATTCAAAATACAGAATATAGAATATAAAATACAGAATACAAAATATAGAATACAGAATACAGAATAAAAACTCCAGAATACAAAATATAGAATACAGAATACAGAATACAGAATACAAAATATAGAATACAGAATACAGAATAAAAACTACAGAATACAGAATACAGAATATAGAATACAGAATACAGAATATAGAATACAGAATACAGAATACAGAATATAAAATACAGAATACAGAATAAAAACTACAGAATACAAAATGCAGATGGTGTTTTCCTATAAGTAGACATATGCTTTACTCGTCTGACGGTTGAATTGTTTACAAGCTACCCTTTAAAGTGTTAAAGTGTAATGTATAACAGATAAAAACAATGAGGTGTTTAACTTCTATCAAGGTTAAAAAAGATATAAATGATGAATTGTCCTTGGAAATCAGACATTGTTCTATTCTAGGAAACAGAAAAAGAATTTAAGAATTGTTTGTTTAAAATGTCTAGAAAAAATGTAAATGAAAAAGGTAGATAAAAGATAAACTCCCTTTTTACAAAACCGTTGTGGAATGTGAAGCGTTCATATTTCATTTCTTGGTTTCTATAATGTTTTGTTCTATTTGTCATGTTTTCTTTAAATATCTTCAATTGTTTAATTAAAACAATAGATACTAGAATACGTTATTCAGATGTTTACAAAAAATAAGAGTACTTTTAATTGTTTATTAGCAGGGATACCAGGGATACCAGGGATATCAGGGATATCAGGGATACCAGGGATACCAGGGATACCAGGGATACCAGGGAAACCAGAGATACCAGGGATACCAGGGATACCAGGAATTATTTTACGAAAATTTGTCCCATAATATCTCAAAGATCGAGCCTTATTTTAGTCTCCATGGCAACTTAGTCTTGACACTAAATTTTCCCAAATAATTTGAATCAAGGCCTCAGGGTTAAGTTATGCTGTATCAATGTCTAAAAGTGTTGGTCATGAATCCATATTGTCTCCGACCCTACTGTAAATTAGGCGTGCTAAATTCTCTCAAGGACACTCATGAATACAAGTCCTTATGCTAACGTAACAAAAACCAAAAAAAAAATAGAAAAAAGTTTTACTTGTTTGTTATTTTTGTGTTTTATAAAATAACCAAAAACAAGGCAATAGCAAGCTAACTAATACTGTACTTTATGATTACTAATTGCCTGAGTTCACCTTAATTTAAGGCGATTGCCTTAGTTTAGCCATTGTGGCCTCAATGCAATTTCCTGACTGCCTGACAGAATGTATGATTTTGAAAAATGTTCTACCCTGCACTTTCCCCCCAGGAATCTAAGCAGTTGCTTTGTTGTATACTTCAAGCAAAAGATAAGGAGGGGGGGGTATTATTTTAGTGTATAGGAGCAGAGGAGGGGGAGGAGGGGGTTGATAACCCATGGGACAGGACGGGGTAAGAAAAGATATAATTTACATCTAACTTTAAGGGACCTTTACTAACAGTTAGCTATTTCCATGAAAAGTTCGTGAACAAATTCTTTAAAATGTAATTCTTTGAGAATTTTAAAGATTAATTAATAATTATATAATGTGCAGGAAACATTTAAATGTCTTCGAAGTGTTTTTCTTTATAAATTGCAAACTTATTAGTTCGACGAGGTTGCGCGATGACATCTTGTTAAAATTATAAATAATTTGACAGATGTTGGGAATAATTAGACAGATGACAGCTGGATATAAGGTCAAGTCCTGTGTGTGATAATATATTGAGCATTATCATTACCGTTAACAATTCAGTTTTATTCATTAATTTATAATAGAATTTGTTTCGTGCATATGTTGATAGAATTAGATTATTTTGAATTGGAAAACCTTTTTTTTAAATATCATACCTTAAAAAAACTATTTCCATGTACATTGTACAATGAATCTTAGACATGCTTTGGAATGTTTTTTCGGAAAAGTTTTTTTTTTATTTTAGATTTTCGTCGTTAAAAAATTGTTTTTGTGTAGGAAATATCTAATCAAAGTCGTTTACTATAACCAGTTAATGTAAAATTCAACCAACTAGGAATTAGGATGTCTAAAAGTCAACCCGACTACTAATTCACCAAAAAAGCCGACAAACCCAATGGGTATTTTAAAGCTAAGATCAGATCCACCAAATGGATTTATATAATCTAACGCCTGAAGTTCTAAAGCAAAAAGCCGACCCAAGTACAAAATTCCAACCAAAAAATGTCTATAGCTAAATGCCTTTCTAAATAAAAAGCCAACCCAACATTTTCTAAATCTTCTTATTTGTAAATGGAAAAGCCGACTCAACTAAATTATTCTGTACATCTGAAAAAAAAGTTTCTAAACCTAAAAAAACTGTAAATGTGAAAAGGCGACCTACCTGGTAATTTCCGGCCGCCAGCCCAGCTGCTGGAAATATCAACAAGGCTGGCAGGATCCTGAACAAATATTATATTTTTATTTCTAACTTTTTTAACAAAAAAAAACAATCAGTTTTGAAAAAAATGTATTTTTCCGAACATTTAAAAAAATGAAAAATAGTTACAATCTTACAATTCCACTTTACAGAAAAATCAAAAAATTAACTGAAGAAAAACTGATTATTCCCCTCAAACTTTTAGTTTTCAAATCTTTAAATTTTGGTGGCATCGTGAATTCTGCTAAAGTTTGCAAAATATCAAAGGAGTACAAACTACAAAGTGACAAAAAAAAAAAACAATCTTCGAAAGGAACTGAAGCAAATTACTTTTCCTTCATATGATCTATTTTGCTTAAAAATTCAAAAATATTCAACATTTTCCATTGTTACCTAACTTATATTACTGGTGGAATAAGAAAACGAATGTGAGACTCAAGCTATGATGTGAAATAGTATAGAAAGATCTTTGAATAAGTTTATTTTAAACCTACCGGTCAAAATATATATTTTTTTATTAAAACAACATGATACACACAAATAGATTGTTTAATGTACGTTGACTTCTTAATCCATAGTTTTATATGTCCCACTGCATTATAAATTAATTAAGACCTTGGTGAAGATAGTACGCTTCATAAAATTCCCTTTCAAGGGTCATTTCAGATTTACCTTAATTAACAGAAGAAGGATTGGGGGGAGGAAGGACAACGAAGGAATTAACAGGGGGGGGGGTAATAATATTTTAAATGGTTTAATACGAGTCGTTGATTTTGCACAACCATTGGTACATACAGGGTGTCACAATAAACATAGGAATTGGAGAAAATTTGTAAATCGTCTTTGATTCCCTAAAGTATTATTTAAAGACCAGCACCTGAGGTCATCAAAAATATGTTACAAAATGGCGATTTCCATTTTTGTAACTTTAACTTACGTTGACAGAGATGTTTGCTATTTGGATAATTTTGAATTTATTTGATGATATCAATCACTTTTAAAGAAACCCAAATTGCAGACCACATTTTGTAAATCCCAAAACTCTGAGCTTTTTATGTTAACTATTTGAAGTAAATGCTATTAATAACCATGCTTTTAAACAATAAGACGATTTAAAAATTGTCATTCAAGTTCAATATTTATTGGGACATCCTGTATTTCCGGAGTTTCTACAAAATCTAGAAATATACAGGGTGTCCCAAAAAACATGGGAATTCAGTGACGAATTCGATATCGCCTTTGTTATACATTAGCATTGTAATACCTAATTTCAAAAGCCATAATATTATTATGTCTGCTAGAGTTTATTTTATGAAAACGGTAAATGGCTGTAAAGATGTGTCTATAATGTCTCCGCAAGATGAACAGTGAAGACAGACAAGTTTACTCTGTTTGTATACTATAATTTTCTTGTTTTACTAAGTACAACCGTATGCAGTCAAAACATAAACAAACAAAATGTAAACATAGCAGACGAAACTCTTACAGATTACAGCTTTCTCAGTAGGTATCACTATACTAAATCAAAGAATTATCTGAAAAGACGATATCGAATTCGTCACTGAATTCCCATGTTTATTGGGACACCCTGTACTTCCATAATAATCAAATAACAAAGTTTAAAAAAACAGAGAACTTCTAAATAAAAGGGACTTTATACTCAGTGTAATTTAAATTTACCCTCTATAAAAAAGAGTTTCATGTCTGATTCACAACGGTGCCCTTCACCACTCTGTCAGTATCATAGAGGACGATATTGTAATTTTTTATCGAAAAAAGTTTTGAGTTCTTTTAATTTGCTCTATAGAATTAATGTGCAATCCATTTTCATGAAGAAACCAAAATTGAAGAAGAAAATATTTCCTCTCAAAAAATACGGATATCTCAATCATCTTTGATCATACAAAGGTTTAAGGGGTACCGTTGTGAATCTGGCATGTCCATCTTTTAAATGTAAGGTCACTTTAAATTACGTATACATTCCCTTCCCCTGAAGAAATGATTAGTTAAAAATTGTAAAACCTGTTCGAGATAAACCATGTTTATTTTCTTGTTATTCCAACTTCTCTTTTTCACAATAATTCTTCAACAAACACTTTCTGAAAAATTAAATGTATTTTTACTAAGGCGAGATTTAACAGCTCACAATTTGACCAAATAAACATGAATTTTTCTCTTTTCTATTAATGTGATTTAAAGAAAAATATAAAAAATGCAACTTCGTAAGTTTAAATATTGTTGAATTTTAGACAAATCGCACATTGTTCACATTGAAACTGATTTTTGAGCATGCATTAAAAAGTTCATTACTCTTTCCTTAAAGATCTGTTTATACTTGTACATATATAATTGTGCTAGAATGATTTTTCAAAATTGTGGATTTTATATTATTCTTTTCCAGGATTTTTACTTTCACATTTTTATATATTTCCTACTAAAAAAGTTAACAATTTTATTTATGTGATATTTTTTCCTGAACTGAAATGCCAAAATTCTATTTCAATTCGACATATGGATTGTTTAACAGATGAAAACCATCTCATGGTTCACAAATTGGCATTCAATTAGAAGTTTATCATATAATTATAAAATTTATCTACAAAAAACAACCAGTGCAAAGTTAAAGGGACTGTAAAGGAAAAATGAACGGGGGTATAGGCTGACCCATGAAAATTATATCTGATGTTCCTGTCTCGAGAAATTGATATTAAATTGTGTCAAATTCATACGAAAATTCATATTTATACAATTTTGTATAGCAATAGTAGGTTTAATTAGATCATATTCACCAAATACGCAACAAATCTGAAAACATTATATCTCATAGAAACCTACTTGTAACTTAGGTTTCTCAAATTATTATTTTATAATTTTTATTTTTATTTTTAATAGATATAATTGATGATATTATTCATAAGTCCGTATTACGTCGTCAGAACTCCCACCAATGATAATGCAGTGATTGTAAAAAAGAAAAAAATATAATGCAAATGTTAAGGATACTGCAGTAGATGGACTACCGTGCTTAACTAATCGAATTAGTCCCGTTTTAAGTAGAAATTGACGATCATAAATGGAAGATCATTCCCGGAAGACTGTTTGTGGGAGGTTCGGAAGTCCTCTGGGGACGTGCACTACAGCAAATAGGTAAAATGAGGTTCGGAAGTTGTGCAGAGGAGGTTGCCTTCCCTCTCTCATACTGTACTCTCATTGGTGTAAGTTCTTGTTAGTCCTTTATATTGTACACCGAACTAGAAGATGCTCACAGATCGAGCCACAGCTTAAAGTTTAAATATAGGATGGGGGGCGAAGCGCCCTAAAAACCCTATTTACTTAAATTGTACATAGTATTTCTTTCATAGTAGCTTTATCTATATTTTCTGCAAACATTAATACGTTTTAAATTCGTAAAATACTTCCGTTTCTTTAAACTTAATTGACAATCTTTTACAACTTTCTTCACGCTCGTTTTATTACTAGAAATACTCATTTCTCCTCCCCATCCCTTCCCCCTAAATCGTGCAGAGAAAAATAATCGTTTCAAATTAAACACAGCGTTTCATTAAGAACTACTGGGAGCTGTAGCTGATAGCTGATAGCTTATAGCTTATAGCTTATAGCTTATAGCTTGCAGACGATAGGGTTAAGCTGATAGTGGATAGCTGACATCAACATATATAGCAAAAGCTGATATCTGTTAGGTGAAAGTATAGAAAGCTATGTAGCGGATCGATGGTAGATAACTCTTATCAGAGAGTTGATCGATGGTAGCTGATAGCTGACAGCATGTAGTTGCATGTGATAGCTGATAGTTGACAGCTTTTGGGAAATAGCTGACAGCATATAGCATACATCAGGTGATAGCTGAAAGGTAAAAGCAGAAACCTTTTGCAGATGACTGATATATATATGATAACTGAGAGATATGATAACTGATAGCTATGATAACTGATAGCTATGATAACTCAGAGATGAATTTTAGATGATAGCTGCTGTTAAAGCTGATAGATGATAAATGATAGCAGGTAACTAATATCAGATAATTTAATGCTTAAAGCTTAAAAGCTTACATCTGAGAACTGATAGCTGATGGCTGATAACTGATAGTTGTAAAATAAGGAAAAATCAGTATGTCAGTTTTCATCATGATTTTTATGGCCTGCTTTGCACAATTATTGCATGATTGCAATTTCACTTTTTTCTGTGCAAATATTTCAACTCCATATTCACAAATTAAACAGTTTGAAAGTTAACCTGAAATGTGTAAGAAGAGGGGAAAATTTTTAATTTACAATAATTTGTTCTATTCTCTGTATGCTTTCTGTTTTAAGATAACAGATTATTGAGTCTTTTCTACACTAAATATTGAAATAATTTCCCAGCTTTTTATCTGTTTTTATCCGTAGGATAAGGGTTGATTGCAGTCAATCAAAATATCGGAGAGATCTAATCTAAGAAATGGAGTGCAATTATTTTAATTATTCTAATCGGTTTATTTTCTTATTGATCATCGACTCCCCACCAACTGTTATTTTAATGGTAATTATCGATTTAGTTTTTACAGCTTAATTTCTGTATCTTTGATTACGAGAATATAAATTAAAAACCAATGGAAACATCGATTGTAAAGTATTTTCAATACAGCATCACTATTATTAAAATTATTACTATTATTATTATTATTTATTATCATTATCACTATTATTATTAATATCATGATTAATTGAAAACAACTACAACAATACTGAAACATTTGGTGGTATAACCCTGTCCTTTATTAAATGCAATGCTCTGACCCTCATTTCATTTTTCCAACTCATTCTTTTTTATCATAATCTTAAGAAAATTCTGAATTTTTCAATGGCATAAATCTCCAAAATTACTTAGGAACAACTTTTGACGTTTTAAATGGGCTTGGGGGGAGGGAGCAAACACATCACGGGGGGTAAATATAAACATTTTTGTTTACACTTTCAGAGTTAATAAAATTGAGTTTCTAAAAAACCCTCGATATTTTGAAAAATAAAATTATGTTTAAAGCGATCTAACGCGTATTGAGAAAATCCTTATTCAAAATTTCAATAAGATATATTTTTTCCCATGCGTATCATTCTAAGATTTCTAATCACCAACTCATTCACTGACTGAAATGCGTAAGTCTCTTTGCTTCGCGTCTGCGTATGAGAACTGTTCAACCCCGACTGTCAGATGGATGTACGCACCGCGTCTTGATATTAGAGATTGCGCAATTTCAGGACACGCCGAATACGCGGATTTATGAGATTTGACTTCAGATCAGATATTGAGAACATTAGCATACACCAAGTTACCAGGCCGGGGATATCAGTGGCACTTATAAAACAGGAGAATAAGGGGCGCGACATATTTAAGCATCTTATGAGTATTTGATTTTGTTATGCATGCAATGGTTTGAATGCATTTTTTATTAATGGTAAAACTATTTGGCACTTTTTTGATGAAATTGCTCAAATTCACTTGTGACTTAATCCTTTGATCCATTTCAAAAAAAACATTTGAGAATTGTTTATTCATAATTTTCAGTCTTATTCAGATTTTTGCGTTTTTTGTGTAAATCCACTAAATTATGAAAGCCAGAAAAAAAATCGTTAAAATAAACCACGACAGGTATAAAAATATCTGCTCTGATACACTGAGTTTACAAACGTTAATTTCGGATCCCTTAAAAATTAAGCAAATTATAGACAAAACCCTGTTTTTTGGCAGATATTGTCATAGCATAAAAATCTTTTTTTGGCCTGTAAAATAACAGCTTTTAAAATATGGAAAAAACGGAAAAGTGGACGTTATTCAACGAATCAAGGAGCATCTTGCAAAACTAGTGATGCATTGATGCATGGTAATTATGGCCGGTCATATCAGCTTTACACCAACAAAAATCTACAGTGATAACCAGAAAACTCTGTAATATATATATAGACGACTTTAAGACTCAAATAATGACTTTAAATAGTCCAAGAAGAATGGAACACAGATATTGTGCAGCGTAAACAGACCCATTTCTCTTATGTAGTGTTTTAAAAGTGTCTTGTAAAACTATTTGCTTTGTAACAAAATCAAATACACTCAAGTATTGCTGAAAGGTCGCAGCTTCCTATTTCTGAGTTTTCTGATTATTACTGTACATAATTTCAAAAATTTAACTACAGAAAACCTCGTAAAATAATTGGTTTTTAATATAAAAAACATTTGCAGAGGAACAGCAACAATAAATAATAAAACCCATACTTTTCACACTTAATGGGACATATATATATATATATAAATATATATTGCAAACCCAGTGTTAGTTTCAAAGCAATGTGAGAAAACCTATCAAGCCTGTCATCATACCACATTTTTAGAAAACGAAAAACACTAGACTGGGACCAAGAAACTCCATCTCTGAAAACCACTTTTGAATAGCTAAACTATACTCATGCTAAAAGTCTTGTATTGCACCTGTTATTTGGCAAACCCTGTCAAGTATAAAATGCGCTATCCAGAGAAAAGAGTATTAGTTTGTAAACTTTTATATTGTTTAATGTAATTTTGCTTTAAACAATATTTCGCTAAAAAAAGGGAAATCAAAATATTTACAAAGATTGTCAAAGATCCTTAAAAAACTGTTTGTTTTCAATACACTTTATTACTTTCATACCATTTAATACACTTTTCTAACGTATATGTTGTGATACATTTCTTAGACTCGAGCTGACTGGTTAAAAAATTCTTTCTTTTTACGACTTGTTAGGATCATTAATTAAAGCCTCTGTTGCATGCATGCAGCTAGGGTGCATGGACCCAGTGGCGTAATGGGGGGGTACACCTCCTAGCCCCCCCCCCCCGAGTCAGAGGTAGGCTTTAATATATTAAACTTACATATATATTAAGATTTTTTACTTTTCTTACCACAATTGACAATGTCACAATTTGTCCATTTTATGCTAATTTCTCAAATTCTGTCTTGTACCTTAATCTTATTTACAATTTTTTTTCACGGGATTTTATTCAAAATCCATTTCAGTCTCTCAGAGTAGGATGTTTGATGCAGCGTTTTATAAAGCTTTAAACTGTCACC